TGTGCTACGAGCTGGAAGGAGCTGCCTTTCCCCAGTGTTGTGCTGTGTGTTAAGAGGCTGGCTGAGGCTCAGCATTGGAGACTTGTCCTGTTGGCTGATGGCCTGTTCTGTGGGTGGTGAAGTGCTGCTCTGCTATGTCTTGGGTGCCTCCAAGTTGTGTAGAAGGGCTTCAAATGCTGCAGGAGTTGGTCAGGCTCCTTCTGCAGACCACCCATCCCCGAGCCACGTCTGCCCATCACAAACATGACATTTAGCAACAGGCAAGTGAGAAAAGTGAAGAGTGAACATATTTACAACAGGTACCCAACTGTTCATGCTTCAGTTAGTAGGAGAGGAGATGGAAGGAGAGAGCTGTGCTTCCAGCCACTGGCATTTTGGGTAGATTCAAACGGATTCTCCCTCCATTTCAAGTTAAAATCTGGAATAGTTTCAGCAGTCCATCATTCTGGGGAGGACCCTTGTCCTCGACACTGCTTCCAAGGGGATTTCTGGAGGCTGTAGGCCTTGCTCTGCAAGGACTGAATACAACTCATAAATCCAGTCCTTAACCCAGAAATCAGGTTTCAAGGTGGCTCCTGAGACGTTACTGGTTGCCTCTGTTCAACATCAGACTCCCCGAGCAGAACTGCATCCTGTACATAGAACTCAGCAGTGATTAGTCTCATGCTTAGCTATGAACAAATGCTTCTCTGTGTCAAGGGAGAGGTTTCACTTTGCCCTTGTGATCACATTTAAACATCAGGGAAGGCTTCCTTTCTGTGGAGACTGTATTTTACAGAATTCACTGTCACAGTAGGAGCAAGCAGTGAAAGATTTGGGTAAGACAACATAATAACACAGCAAGAGGATTCAAAGAAAGCCTTGTGAAGGGTCTTTACAGGCCAGGTGGCCATGAAATTAGGTTTGAGGCAGAAGCTCTTCCCTGTGAGGGTGCTGAGGCGCTGGCACAGGGTGCCCAGAGAAGCTGTGGCTGCCCCATCCCTGGCAGTGCTCAAGGCCAGGTTGGACACAGGGGCTTGGAGCAAGCTGCTCCAGTGGAAGGTTGCCCATGGCAGGGGTTGAAACTGGATGAGCTTGAAGATGCTTTCAACACAAACCATCCCATGATTCTGTGGTTCTATGAATTGGACTGGTGGATGGAGCTTCAGAAGACAGAAGAGGAGGTGATGCTGCACACAGGGCTCGTGGAACACAGAGCTCAGTGCTCAGGACATTGGGAGTGCAAGAAAGCTGCCTGGGCTCCCAGAGCACTGCCACGGGGCTGAAGGAAGAACATCTACCAAGGGTTAAGCACCAGTGTGACTCAGGCAGCTCTGGATCAGTAAGCTCTGGGAGCTGACAGCCTCTGCATCCTTGGGCTCTGTACGCTTCCTCATGGGTTCTTACTGGGCGCTGCAGGCAGCACATGGGCCTGAATGTGCCTTTGATCTGCTGTACTGGAGGGGAGGTGGGGAGTGGAGTATGGAGGCAGTCTCAGCTGATGGGCAAGCTGCATGGAGGGGAGGAGAGGCACACGAGTAAAGGGGTGTAGTTTATGCAGGGCTCAGATGCAAGGATGCAGATAGGGTGAGCAGAGGAGCTGTAGCAGTGATGAGCTGCAGGTAGTGGAGAAACGCTGACAAGAACTTGCTTTCCTCCCCTTCTCCCATCAGAGATCTCTCCTGAGGGGGGAGCAATAGGAGACATTCATTGTCACAGGGAACAGACACTGTTCCTGCTACTCCAAGGACTGGGGTTGTAGAGACGATCAGCTTGGGAACCAAAAGTGTAGTGAAGCCTCTGTTCTTCTGTCATAGGATCAAAACTCAGGTTGGAAGGAGGAGGTCTCTAGTCCAACCTCCATCTCAAAGCAGGGTCAGCTGTGCCATCAGTTCATGTTGCCCAGGGGTTTATCCATTCTGGTCTTGAAAACCTCTGAGGATGGAGCCTACCCGCCCTCTCTGGGCAGCCTGTTCCGCTGCAGGCCTGTCCTCATCATCATATTGCTCCTCTGACTAGTCAAAACCCTTGTCTCAGTTTTGCCCGTTGCCTCCTCTCCCGCAGCCATGGCCTCTTGTCCTCCACTGTGAAAAGCCTGGCTTTATCTTCTTTGCAGCCTCCCATATGTACCAGAAGGCTGGTATTAAGTTCCCTCCAAAGCTGTTCCTTCTGCAGGCTGGACAAGCCCAGCTCCCTCAGCCTCTCCAGAGCAAGCTGTGACTGTCTTTGTAGCTCTCCACTGAACTCCCTTGAGTTTGTTGATGTGTTTCTTGTGCTGGGGGCCCGAAAACTGGATGCAGCATTGTAGTGTGGTGTCATGGGAGGGCAGGAGAGGGGTAACCTCTTTGCTCCTGTTCAGGCAGCCCCAGGCACTGTTGGCTCTGCTGCTGAGGCGCTGGGTTAGCAGCCTACCAGCCCCGCAGAGCTGCTGCCCAGGCACCAGTCCACAGCCTCCTGCACAGGGACCTTCCTCCTCAGCTGTGGGACTCTGTCCTTGTGGGATTCATGGAGATCCTGCTGGCCCGTTCCTGCAGGGCTCCTGTTGAGATCTCCGGCTGGTCACTGCTAGTGCTTCAGATCCTGTTTTCCATAGCGCTCCCCTCCTCATTTAAGAAAGAAATGGAGTAGTGCTCCCCTTCTCATTTAGGAAAAAAATGGAGGAGAAACACTTACAGCCCAGAAAAATAACAAGTGGGCCACAGCGCAACTAAAGCAGAGCTTGCAGAAGCGGTACCTAAAACAGAACAGAAACTAATACCCACGTTCAGATTTTCTGTCCCCTTCCCCTCCCTTCACTGGCAGTTCTTTGCCTTTGGTGCTTTACACAGAAGGTAGACCAGGGGCTACCAATCCATCAACTCTTGAGTCAACAGCTGAGAGCTTGGAGCAGCAGTATCTCTTGGTAGTTGGTGTCTCCTCTGGTCTGGCAGCTGGTGACTAGGCCACTCTTTGCAGATCAGGGACTACAAGAAGGCGTAGCAGCTTTCTGGTTTTCATGTTCTGTAGTCAGCACAGTGGCGCCAATGCACAGGATGGTCAGCACATCCCTGCAACAAGCTCCGGTTGCTCTAGACCGTGTTCTGGAACAGGCTGCGCATGGTAACAGAGCTCAGTACTGCATAAATCTCCTTGGTTTAACTCCTGCCCATTTCCGTGTGAGAAGCAGAAATAAGCATAAAGGCATGTGGGTGTTTTTTGGATCTTCATGCTGTTGAGAACATGATGATGTCTGATCTGAATCATCCACTGCTCCACCTAGTGCAGAATCCTGTCGTAAGCGTTGCTCTTAAGCAGATGCCCAGGGAAGAGTGAAAACACAGAAAGGATATGATGTTTCTCCAGAATACTCAGGCAGCTACTGACTTCAGTTCACAGGTTTCTGTGCACATAATAGCCCACAAAAAGTGCATCCTCCAACACTTTGTCCAGTGTCTCTATGAACTCATTTCATGTCTCCAGTTCATTCTGTTGCCTTGGCATTAAAAATCCCCAAATGGTGCTCAGCAAAACCAGCCCATTTTTGCTCTTGGAGCACAGCAACGGTCTGAGCAATGTGGTGAGATGGAAAGGCTGCTGGTCACTGGCCAAAATACTCTTTTTATCCCCTGCAAACTCTACATGTGCAGGCATTGGGTGAAACTGCTCACGTAAGACAGGGCACAATTGCCAAAGCACTTCGAGTGCTAGGGAATGATACAGAAAAAGCACTAGAGCCAAAAAAGCAGGTGGTCACGGTGCTGCTGTGCTGAACCATGGCCCTCTGCCAGCTCCAGCATCCTCTGAAGAGCAAAACCCTTGAAAACAGCTGAGCTGAGACTGAAAAGGAGGAGCTGTAGCAAGTGGGTGACAGCACAGCAGGATCTGGTGTGGTGGGCAGGGTCTGGAGCAAGCTGGGCTGATTCACTTGTGTCCAGGCAAGTACCTGCCCCATACTTACTGTGCTAATTCATTTTTTCTCCCATTACTTTACTTAGCAAGATTCTCATACTCTTTGCCCAATTATTATAAGTACCTGGACAAGACAATTGCAAGTATCTGCAGAATAGAAGGCTCTGGGGAGACCTTAGAACAGCTCTCAGTGCCTAAAGGGGCTGCAGGAAACCTGGAGAGGGGCTTGGGACAAGGGCCTGTAGGGCCAGGCCAAGGGGAATGGCTTGAGCCTGCCCGAGGGGAGACTGAGCTGAGCTCTTAGGCAGAAGCTCTTCCCTGTGAGGGTGCTGAGGCGCTGGCACAGGGTGCCCAGAGAAGCTGTGGCTGCCCCATCCCTGGCAGTGCTCAAGGCCAGGTTGGACACAGGGGCTTGGAGCAAGCTGCTCCAGTGGAAGGGGTCCCTGCCCGAGGCAGGGGTTGGAGCTGGAGGAGCTTTAGGGTCCTTTCCAACCCAAACCAGTCTGGGATTCTATGATACCTGAAAAAGCTCTCATGGTGCACCCAGGTCGTAAGTTATTAGTAAGAATGACAGAATCTGGCTTCCTTGAGTACTTCCAGTCTTGAAATACATAACTTAAGTTTCTGGTAGACCCTGCTTCAGGATTCAGTCTCACCCGTAGAACCATATGTAACTCATTGTGGGGAAGGGGGACGTGTGACACGAGAACGGGAGCGCGGATGTGGCACTGTTGGCGGCGAGTTGCACAACCTGCTTGCACTCGGCTGTCTCACGCATTGACAGTTGGTGTCGGGAGGTTTGATGGAGCAAGTGTTCAGTTCTGTCTGTTGGGTTGGTCTGAGAGCGTGCAGCCTGCCTGGAGGATGTTGGGCACAGCTGTCTGATGGATCTAAACCAGTACAAGGCATTGTAAGAGTGTGGCTGCCCTCTGTGCCAAGTGAATATGAGCAAAGGTCCAGAATGCAACCGCATGCACCAGGCGAATGAAGGATGAAGTGAAAAGTCACCTTAGCATGAAGGGGTTTATAAGGGGGGGAGGGGGAGAAAGGGATGTCACATCCCATTTACGGTGACTGACACAACTGGTCTGTCTGAAGACATCCTGTCTGACTTCACTGTTCTTGTTTTCCAGGTGAAGACGAGAAACTTGCTGCTTCCTTGCTAGATGGGAAGTTTCCCCGGAGCACATCGATGCAAGACACTGTTAGGGAAGGACATGGGATTCCACCACCACCTCAGACGGCCCCACCTCCACCTCCTTCTCCATATTACTTTGACACAGGCCCCCCTCCATCCTTCTCACCACCTCCACCTCCAGGAAGAGCTTATGATACCATAAGATCCAGCTTTAAGCCAAGCCTGGAGGCCAAACTCCATGGACTCCCTCAAGTCCTTAGCGCAGCTGAGATGTATGATCAGGCAAGGACTTCCATTCCTTACCCCGAAAGGCAAAAGAGGGCCCGATCCATGATAATCCTACAGGATTCCTCTCATCTTCCCGTGGAGCCAACAGAGATCCCCCGCCCTGGCCCATCTGCAACTCCTCCGGAGAAGCTGAAGAGGAAAGGAAGAGTGATTGACAACCCTTACGCCAACATGGGTCAGTTCAACGTCAGCCTTTTCGCTCCCACCAAGCCACAGAGGAAGAAGAGCCCTCTGGTTAAGCAGTTACAAGTGGAGGATGCACAGGAGAGAGCAGCACTGGCCATCACTGGAGGCTTTTCAAGGGAGCCCTCTCCCACCCGCAGGAGCCATCGCCTGAGTGGTGTCGAGTATCAGCACCATGCCGGCATTGCTCAAGTTGAAGCCACAGGCATCCCCTTCGCCACTGCCATCGCTGGAGTCATGAAGGACAGAGACCGTCGTCTGGATGAGAGGAGGAAATCCACCGTCTTCCTCTCGGTTGGGGCTATCGAGGGCAGCCCCCCCAGCAGCGACATGCCATCCTTGCAGCAGTCCAGGTCCATTGATGAGCGGTTGTTAGGAAGCCGAGATGTTCTACTGCCTTCCCCTGTCTCAGCTTTAAAGCCATTGATCAGCAGCTCATCCTCAACGTTCATCCACCCCCTCACAGGAAAGCCCTTGGATCCAAACTCGCCTCTGGCGCTTGCGCTGGCCGCAAGAGAACGGGCCCTCTCAACTCAAGTCCCATCCCGGTCGCCCACCCCAATCCACAGCCCAGACTCAGAGCGAGCAGCACCCCTCTTTGTGGACATCCAAACCAAAGAACCAGAGCGGGTGGAGTTGGAGAGCTTGGTGTCCCCTGCGTACTCTCCCGGAGGCAAAGGGGTGATCGGAACAGAGTCTGGGACTTTGGCCCCTGCAAAGAGCCCATGGGGGACTCCATCCACACTGCGGAAAGAAACGGAGGCCCGAGCAGAAACCCCAGGGAAGGAGGAGAAGAAACAAGAAGACAAGAAGTCCATGATTATTAGCATAGTGGATACATCACAGCAGAAGACCGCTGGCCTCATCATGGTTCATGCCACAAGTAATGGCCAAGATGAGATAGGACTTGAGATGAAAGAGGAGACACCAGCTGTCGCTGAAGCATGCACAGAGCCAGCAGAGTCCCCCAAAGTAGAGACACAGCCCAGCCCCATGGGAAAGCCTCCGGTGAGTCCAGCCTCTGACAAGACGTTGGGACAAGGGAGTTCGGAGGAAGAAGTGGAGACCTACACGGTCACCCTCCCACCAGCTCAGCTGTCTTCAAGCGACGAAGAGACCAGGGAGGAGCTGGCCAAGATAGGGCTGGTACCTCCACCAGATGAGTTTGCGAATGGGGTACTGGTCACCACCCCTGGAACACCAGTCAGCCACCTGGCTACGCCCAGCACGCCATCCATACCAGCGGCAGCAGTAGCACCTTCTACCACTGGCGGAACACCCTCAGGGAAGCCCTCTGATGCCCCCGTAGCCCCAGAGTCTGCTGCAGACTCGGGAGTGGAAGAGGTGGACACCAGAAGTTCAAGTGACCATCATCTGGAGACCACAAGCACCATCTCTACCGTCTCCAGCATGTCTACGTTGTCCTCAGAGAGCGGGGAGCCTACTGACACATACACTTCCTTTGCGGATGGACAAACTTTTATACTCGAGAAGCCACCAGTGCCTCCAAAGCCAAAACTCAAGTCCCAGCTCAGCAAGGGGCCAGTTACTTTCAGGGACCCACTTTTGAAGCAGTCTTCGGACAGCGAGCTCATCTCCCAGCAACATGCGGCCACTCTGGCATCAGCCAGCATTGGCCGGCCACGCTACCTCTTTCAGAGAAGGTCCAAGCTATGGGGGGACCCCATGGAGAGCAGGCCAATCCATGGGGCTGATGATGACAAGCCAACTGTGATCAGTGAGCTAAGTTCCCGACTACAGCAACTGAACAAGGATACACGATCACTGGGGGAGGAACCAGCCGGGTCCACCTTAGATCCCGGGAAGAAGTCACCAGTGGTCGCGGCACGGTAAGACACTGGTCGCTGGCCAGGAGTGGGCGGGTGCAGGGTTTAGGCTCCTGGGGACAGGGAGGTGTGTAAGCGGAGCTTAACTGTGCCGAGTAACCCAGGGTGGTCTTTGAGGGCATTTCAGAGGTGTGAGGGGAGAGGCAATGCTGGGACATGCCTCTCAGAAGCTGGTGTCACTTGTTCATGGCTCCTCTCTATGCACTGCACATGTAGCGAGCTCACGCTGTTGCTTTCCCCTTTGAATTCCCTTCCTGTTACGTCATGTCCCTTGTCTTGATGCTGCTGTTTAGCTGCTGTATTTACCTGTGGGTTTCACTTCCACATGTTTGCTCCTGACCAGCTGATAACGATGTGTGGTTCTCCAGTGCTTTTTCATTCCAGAGGGTCTCCAAATGTTGTCAGGCTGTGCCTTAGAGCTCTGGTCAGTCTCTGCTCAGGAGGAGCATCATGAGGGTGGTCTGTGACAGCCCGTAGGCTGCACTCCACAGCACCCACCCTCCTTTGCCCTGTATCCTGGCACAAGCCGGATCGGGTGACCACAGTGAGGTGTTCTGGCGGGGGTTACCTGCAGGGATGCAGCCCATGTCCTGCTGGGCTCAGCAGTGGGTCTCACATGGCTCCGGGCTGGTGGCTACTGGGACAGCTGCTGGCTCAGAGGTGTCTGCACAGCACCAAAGTGTGGTAGATCCTCTCACTCCTTGTTGCTCTCCTGCACGGAGCCCAGACAACCCAGGAGACCTGGAGGGTCACAGCAAAAGGACCACAGGACGTGCAGGAGACTCTTTCTCTTACAAAGCCCTGCCTGGGTTCCCTCATCCCACAGAACTGAGGTTGCCTCTCAGAACTGTGGCCATCACACTCCTCGAGCAGCTCGGACCTCCCCATGCCCCTCATGCTGCCCTAGCATCCCCAGTGCGGGTCACCCACTGCTGTGGTCCCTGCTTTGCCCCATGCTTTCACCCTGACTCACCCATCAAACTAAACCCAAAAGACTCTATATTAGAGCCTGAGACTTGAGAGCAAACCCTCACAGGGCTTTGCAGCTCAGACACAGCAGACAGTGACCCAGGATCTCCAGCCTTGCCACAGCAATGTGGCTGCGGTAAGCAGGTCCCACTGGTGTCACAGTGAGCTGGGGCAGGGAGCCCTGAGCTCAAGGGAGCCCTTCCTTTGGGAACCCATCCCCATGGTAGGTTACAAGTCCATGTGGTGCTAGCTCAGCTGGTGACATTCCATGCTGTAGCATGGGGGATAGAGTGTCCATAGTGACATCCCCAGGGGAGCATCCCTGGAGTTCCAGGCTTTAGCAGCTCACGTCTCCATGCCAGTGTTGGCAGTGCCAGCCTGGCTTCCCCAGTGATCCACCTCTCAGCAGGTACCAAACCTGTGGTTATCACCACAGGGTGGAACAAAACCCATGGATCTTGCTCTCCTACACTGTTTTAGCTCTCAGGGCTCAGCCCCACGATGCAGGTTAAGGCCATTCCCTGGGGCCAGTGTCTCACATGAGGTCCCTCCCTGCACTGCTCAGTGGGGAACCACATGAGTGCATGTAGTTTAACAGCATTTGGGGACCCTTTTGAGATCCAGCTTGCCAGCCCTTGGCCTAAAAAGTGCTGACTGTGCACGTCTGCCATCACCCAGAGAACTTGGACACTGCCAGCTTTCCATGGCAATTGGTGACAGCTCTCAAAGAGCTTCCCCACGCCAGGCAACAGCCCTTTACAGTGCCTGTTCTGGGCCGGGCTGGTGGAGGAGCTGCTGCCTTTGGCCCCTTTGGTGTCCCAGAGCCCACGTGGTTTCTGGCCACAGCCCTGCAGCCTTCCTAACTCCTGCCCTGGCCTCCCCATTACCCTGCGCCACATCAGAGATAGATGTGCAGGTAATGCTCCGTTCCTAGGAGACCCCCTCCTCCATCCTCTGCCTCTCTCTAAGCCCCTCCTCTCCTTCATTGCTCCTCCCTTCCATTCCTGCACTTCCCACAGGCCGCGTTCTTCCCTTGCCCTGGCTCCCTGGAGCAGGCTCTGCCCCAGCTCCTGCTCCATGACACGATGCTGCTGCATCTGCTCTCACCAGAGACCCCGTGCCCTGCCCCAGCCTCCTCCTCACCTGCTGCCACCCAGTGGCACTCCCCGCTGTCCCGCAGCATCAACCACTCCTGTCCCCTTGTCTCAAAGTCATTTCATCTCTGAAATCTTTATGCCCCCAGTTGATGTCAAAGACTTGAAACACTTCCCAGGAGGTCAGCTCTAAATGGAGTATCCAGTGATGTCAGCCACCTGCCTTTATTGTGAAAATGCTTCTGTTATGAAATTGCTGTAAGTCAGAAAACAGTGTAAGGAGTGGTTAGAGAAGCTTCAGTGACCCATCTCAGGACACACTGTTCTGTCCTTGGGCCTGTCCGGAGAACACCAGGATTACCTCAGCCTCCCCAGACAGCCTCCTACACAGACCCCACACTGCTGCAGAGCAGGGAGAGATGTGCCCATGGGGCTGGAGGTGCTGACCCCCACATGATGCTGCAGTGTTTTCTGGCATTCTCACATTTAGCTCAGCTCCAGAACGGATCAGGAGCCAGACTGAAGCTCTTCCCTAGAGCCAGAGGTGTCCTGCAGTGCCGCGGGGACAGTGAGGTGTCCTTGCAGGTATCCCTGCAGCGGGCACAGGAGCAGGCGCAGGGTTTGTTGCTGGTTTTCCTTCCTCACCACATTGATTTCAGAATTCACAGTAGCTGCATACAATGGCAGATGACTGCTCCATGCATGTGGGGCTGTAGAGCAGGCCCTGGCGTGTTTCTCCTGCAGAGGCCTCTGAGGGTCCTGGCTGGGGACCCCTGGAGCAGGAGACACAAACCGCTTCCTCTGTAACTGACTGTCTCTAGCTCCTTCCAAGACAGTCTTCCACAGGAGGACGTTGATGAGAGTGACTGAGAAAGAGGCCAGGAGGGGCTGCGAAAGAGACCTTAAGGGCAGAGCTAAGGCAGTTATTAGAGACAAGATTTATTCCCCCTCTGGGTGCTGTGTGAGTGGCCGGGGCTAAGCATGGCAAGGGAAGCTCTGATGGGCCCATGTGCACTCAGAGGAGGGCTCTACTCCCCAAGTAGCATGTGCCTGCTTGCTGAGATGCAGCTTTCTGCATGGGTGACAGCAGAGCAGATGGACAGCCTCCATTCTTCCTGTCCTATGGGAATAAGCAAGGAATTGGGGACACAGGAACTTTGCTCCCTGACTTGGTGTGTCTCTGAAGGCTGATGTGAAGCCGGCAGCAGCTCTCCATGTTTAACATGAACGGGATCCTTGAAGACCCGGTGCCCTGGCTAAGCTGAGCACCAGGCATCTTGGTGTGTCCCTGATCTGAAGCTCCCGGCCAGCCCTGGACACAGCTCCTGCAGCAGCAGATGCCCAGAGCAGTGGCTGCACTGAGCAAGGACCCCGCAGCTCAGACCTGCTGCCAGCACTGCAGTGGCCTCGTTGTGTCACATCTATCACCACAATAAAGCTGACGCTGTGGAACAGAAGTGTGCGTGTCTGACCAGCGACCCCGGGTGCCAGCCCAAGAGCTGTGATGGCACCAGAGCCCGATCCTGGGGTGACTCATGCGTTCCATGTGTGTTGAGGTGGTTCCTGTTGAGTGTCCCCCTTGTTCTGTGACTGGCCATGGCCATCCATGCACATCAGGCTTGTGTCATTCCTCACTGTGCATAGTCACACTCAGGGCTCAGCTCCCACCTCACTGATGGGGCAGGGGCCATGCACTGGGCAGCCCTTGGAGGTGAACACGAGCTTGGGTTGAGCTGAGCATGATGAGCTCACCTTGACTCAAGCCAGAAGCATCTGAAGGGTCAATACAGATCCGGTTTGGGGCTCTGGCTAATGTAGCCAAGAGCCTGGGTTAGAGAGAGCTTTGCAGAGGGTGTTTGTGTCTTTGCTTGTTTATCTTTAAGCAACAGCCGACCATGCCAAATGTATCACGTGAAGCAGAATTCTAGATACAGAACTGAGTTTTCAAGGTGCTGTTTTGGAAACCCACCACTGCTTTGTATTTCTACAGATCTGAAAGAGAGAGAGAAGAAAAATAAGCCCTTTAGGCTTTTAGCTCCTAGGGTAAAGCTTCCTCTTTCTATATAAACTCATCAATTAATTCTGTTTCAGTTAAATGGTGTAACATTTCTGGTGCAAGCTTTCAGCCACTGCACATACAACCCCCTGTTTCCTTGTAGGCTTTTGGTCACTTCACGGTGTCTTAAACCCCTGCACAAAGCAGAGCTGAGCTTTATTTCCACACTCAAGGGGATTGTCCACAGAGAGCTGATGAGATTGGCATCTTGGTACCTTCCCTAGAGGGAGTTTGGGCCTTAATGGGAAGTTACTTGCATTGCGCTGAGGTGTGAAGAGGAGGTGGACTCCCAGCCGAGCAGCAGAGTCCTAGGCACCAGTCCCAGTCTTGGGAAGCGCTTGGCAGGCGACAGCCCTGTCCTTTGGTGACATGAAGCAGGACATCCCTGCAGCTCTGTCTGAACTGTTGCTGCTGACACCACAACGGCTCTGAGTCCCCCTGTCCTGCGAGTCCCGAGCTCCTCCAGCACCCCTGCTTTCCCCACGCATCACTGCAGCACCAAGGAGGGAGGCAAACACGCAGTGCCGTGGGGGAGCCTTGGCAGGTCTCCAGCCCACGCTCCTGCAGCATCCGGACCTGAAGATGCTTTAATGCATCTCTGTAGGGAACTAAAAATGCTTCCTTCACTCCATGGATCCCTTTCCATCCTGTGGGAGGAGGCTTCTGCTCATGGAGGTGCACTGCAGTGGGACCACCAGCATTGCAGTGGGGCCACTGGCGCTGCAGTAGGGCCACCAGGTACTGCAGCGGGGCTACTAGGTACTGCAGCAGGAGGTTCTGGGTGGCCCGGGGGGTGCCCACACATTCTGCTGGTGCAGTGTTCCATGCAGTGCCGTGCTGGGGGATGCTCTTGTCTCACGGTTGCCATGACACTCACCATAGGA